ATTGGAAAATTCATGCAGACTTCATGGTGTAAAGTTTGTCCAGTCACAGGTTACCCAGGTCTGTGAAACACAGCTTGAATTTAAACTCTCCCTAACAAGCTGCAGTGGGAATTTATTTTTTAAGACAGAGGAAGAAAATCAACAGAAAGTATCGAGTTTTAGATGAGCAAAAAAAGAGAAGGTTAAGTTTTTCTCTATTTACTTTAGAAGCAGAGACAGAGACAGACAGAGAGTACCTATCAGTTAACTCCTCAGATGTCTATGATGGTTGGAGGTGGGTGAGATTTGGGCAAGGCCAAAATCAGGAGCTGGAAACTCTACCCAGATCTTCCACATGAATGTCAGGAATCCAATTATTTGAGTTTTCACCACTGCTTCTCAAGGTCTGCGTTGGCAGGAACCTGGAGCCAGGAGCCAGAACCAGATATTAAACGTAGGTAGTCCAATGTGGGACACAGGCATCTCAAGCTCTAGACGAAATGTCTAGAGTTTAAGGTAGGAATTCTGAAATGGCATATGACTTTCATCATTTCAGAATATCAGGACATACAGTCTGCATTAGTCTGTTTTCTGTTGCTCTAACAAAATACCCGAGGCTGGGTGTGTTATAAAGAAGTTTTATAACTTCACAGTATTTGACATTCAGGAGCATGATGCCTTCTTCTACTTGACTGTAGCAAGGGCTCCATGTCTCATAGCAAAACAGTGTTGGAAGCACGTGTGAGAGTGATCACATGGTAAGACAGGAAGCCAAAGAGTGGGAGGGGCCAGTCTCATGGAAATTAACTCATTCTGAGAGACCACCATTCATCCCCTCCAAGGGGAGCACTCCCAATGACCTAATTGCTTTGCCCTCAGTATCACCTCTTAAAGGTTTTACCACCTCTAAATATCACCACATTGGGAACCACACTTCTAACACATAAACCTTCAGGGGAACCCTCAAACTACATACAAACCATGATACTGTCCTTATTAAAAAGCCCACAGTAGGACTTTAATGAGAGATTATGTTGATTATTACAAGGATATAACTGAATTTATATCCATTAATGGTAACAACTAAGGTTTACTAAGTACCAAATCAGTGCCAGGTAATGTTCTAAGAGCTCATTTAATCCCCGTAACAATTCTACAGAAAGTAGGTACTATCATTTCTCCTGGTTTATAGATGAGGAAACAGGGGCACAGAGAGATTGTGTGATTTTTCCCAAGATTACATTCTTTGAGCTCTGGCTTTGGAGCTCCTACTTGCCCTGTCCGATGTGGTGTCCCCTAGCCCATACAGCTGTTGAACATTTAAAATATGGTCAGAGTTGAGATGTGTCACAAGTGTAAAATGCTCACTAAATTTTGAAGGCTATTATGAAATATATAAAAACCTCATTTTTTCTAGTGATTGCATGTTGAAATGTTAACATTTTGAATATACAAGATGAAATAAATAAGATATTATTAAAATTAGCTTATCTATTTCCTTTCTTTTCTAATGTGGCTATCAGAAAATTTTCAATTAATTTTGGCTTTCATTATGTTTCTATTAGAGCTGGTCCACATTCTTATACTACAAAATACTGTCTTCACCTGGTAGCAAAGCCCTTCATTGCTAATGGCTGCATTTTGTATAGGGCTGTTAGCAAAGCAAGTGAACTTCTAGCATGATTGACATAATAAAGAATGTGGAAAGGAAAACAATTAATGGAAGCAGGGATGTTGTGGTAAGGAATACAGGTAGGTAGAGGTAGGGGTGGAGCTGGGGTCCAAAGCTCCAGCCAACTGCCGTTGGACAGCTCCTTGCCGAACCACATAACCGTGGGGGTTGGTACGTGACAGCCTCAGCCAAACCACTGTTGACAGCTCCTCACCGACCTACAAGGGTCAGTGATTGACAGCTCTATGGATTCACGTTTCCACAGCCATAGCCAACCAGTCACAGGACAGCTGCAGCCAGCTCATATGACAGCCTGGCCTGGCCCATGTGACAAGTCCCCCTCTACGTCCCATCCAAACTCCCTTCCCTTCCTGTGAACCGTGCAATCCTATCTCCCAAGCACCAACAAGCCCCTGCCCCTTTCAGAAGAGGGGACATTGAAAGTTCCACAGTGTTGCCAACTTACAATCAGGACTAGCTAGAAATATCCCACATGGCAGCAGGATGTGTCCTCCCCCACACCCATAACTTTTAGGCCATTATAATGTCATTTTAATAAAATTATCATGGGGACAGGACCAGTCCCTTCAAGCACCTGATGTCATGACAATTCCAATATTTCCTACAAAGGGCATGGACATGGGTGGTGCTTGAGCCCTTCCTCAAACTCCACCCTAGACATCACCCCCTATACCACTGGAGAGTATAAAGGGAAGGCCTAACCTTATTGACAAAGCCTTTTATTTGTTGTTTTAAATCTGGGGCTGTTTTTTTTTTTTTTTTTTTTTGAAGGCTTTTTCACTGTCGCCTGTTTTTTCTTGGAGAGTTTTTCTTTGTTTGGGGGCCTTTCCGCTTTGGCTGCTTGTTTGTGCATGACTTGGTTCTTGAGCTTGCACTTCTGTTTTGCTCTAAATAAATCCTGCTCTCCTGCACATCTTTATGTTGCCACCTTTCAAGCATTTCACTTGTGGAGGGAAGAATCTGCAATAAGCCTAGCTGGGAGCCCCCAGCCTACAACACAGTCATCACCAAATTGACAGCACTGAGATCTCAACACAGAGACCCATGTGGCCTGCTCTCCTGCAGGCTGAGAGCTCTGTGGTGGTATTCACTGTGTGGAATGCTTCCTCATTTCTACGCTCTGTCCTGGCTCCAGCATCTGGTGGATGTTGTTTGGCTGTGAGTGTTGGAAAGGGTGTAGAGGAAACAATGTGTTCCTTGTTCCCCTGTAGCAACAGCAGAAATGCATCCCTTCTCATGATTTGCCTTTCTGCCTACCCAGCAATTATATTCAGTCAGTCATGGATTTGGCCTTTTTTCCTCCTTCAGCTTTACTGATGTATAATTGACAAGTATTATACATAGTTAAGGTGTCTAATGTAATATGCTTTTTCCAGTAATTTAAATTTTAAAAATTTATTTGATGGGCAGAGAGAGACAGATAGATGGCACAGACAGAGAAAGCGTCAACCCACTGATTCAAATGCCTCTAAGAGTCTCGGCTGGGCTGGGGATGGGCCAGGGCTGAAGCCAGGAGCCAGAACTCAATTCAGGACTTTCACGTGTGTGGTAGGGATCCAATCACTCGAGCCATCACTGCTGCCTCCCAGGGTCTGCCTTTAACTGGAAACCGGAGTCTAATGCAGGCACTCAACTGTGGGACACTGGCCTCCAAATTCATGTCTTAACCACTAAGTTAAATGCCAGTGATTATCATAATAAGTTTATCACCTTATATAGCTACTTTACTGTCTTAGATTTCTAACTACAGCTATCATGCTTTATATTAGATCTCCTGCCGGCGCCTCGGCTCACTAGGCTAATCCTCCACCTGCGGCGCCAGCACACCGGGTTCTAGTCCCGGTCGGGGCGCTGGATTCTGTCCCAGTTGCCCCTCTTCCAGGCCAGCTCTCTGCTGTGGCCAGGGAGTGCAGTGGAGGATGGCCCAAGTACTTGGGCCCTGCACCCCATGGGAGACCAGGAGAAGTACCTGGCTCCTGCTATCGGATCAGCGCGGTGCGCCAGCCGCGGCGGCCATTGGAGGGTGAACCAATGGCAAAGGAAGACCTTTCTCTCTGTCTCTCTCTCTCACTCTGCCTGTCAGGAAAAATATGTATTAAGAAAACACTGATCTCCTGAACTTATTGTAATTGAATGTTTATGACCTTTGAACAAATCTCTCCATTTTCCCCCACCCCAAACCCCTGGCAACCATCCTTCCATAATTCAATGTCTTTAAGTTCCACATATGATGATATCATGCAGTCTGTGTCTTTCAGTCTGGCTTATTTTACTTGGCATAGTGTTCTCTAGGTTCATCCATTGTCGCTCCCCCTCTTCATGGAGGAACGACACAGGACCCTGCGCTGTTCTTTCTGTCTGCTCGGCCCTCCCCGGGTTTGCTGCTGGTTCTTCCCGGGTTGGCTACTATCCCTTCCACCTCCGTGGAAGGGCAGTTCCCCCTGGCCGCATTCCCCACTTCCGCAGGGGAGCGGCACACCGCCGGCCGGGTCTCTCGGGGGCTGCACGGGTGTTCCCTCAGCTAGATGTTCCCCATAGATGTTCCCCGGTGCATGCCGTCTCTCTCCTCCTTTATAGTCCTCCTCCGCCAATCCCAACTCGGCTGCCCACACGCCGAGTACGCTGCTCTCCTCCAATCAGTAGCAAGTCCTGCAGCTTGTCAAGTTGGTGAGAGGCAGCTGTGCGGAAGCTATTTACTTCTCTCCCAGCGCCATATTGTGGGAGAGCAGATGCATAGAATAAGTCTTAATTCGAGTAACTTAGTCTAGTCCGGATTGCTCCCCACAATCCATGTTGTTGCAGATGGCAAGTTTCCCTTGTTTTTTAGATGGAATAATATCCAGTTCTGTATACACACTGCATTTTCTTTATCCATTCAGTAATTGATACTTTGTTTTGATATCTTGTCTATTGCAAACAATGCTGCAGTAAATATGGGAGTGCAGATATCAGTTCAACATGCTAATTTCAATTCTTTTAGATAAATACCCAGAAATGAGATTGCTAGATCATATGGTAGTTCTATCTCTAGTTTTTTGAAAACCTTCCGTACTGTTTTCCATAATGACTATATCAATTTACAGTCTCACTAACAGTGTACAACAGTTCATTTCCCTCTACATCCCTGCTGACTGTTACCATTTGACTTTTTGATGAAAACCATCCTAGCAGGTGTGAGATGATGTTTTATTGTGGTTTTGCTTTATGGTTCTTGATGACTGGTGATGATGATCACTTTTTCTATATTTTTTGGTCTATTCTCAAGTCTGATGAGAACCTGGCCTTTGATATTTTGAGGATTACAGTCCCCTTTTCTTCCTTTTTGCAGACCCCAGAAGCAAAGGATGTGGGACCATGGAGAGAGGAAGAATGAGAGGGATCCTGTGTGAGAGGGGTAGGGCCATGATGGTCACGGACTGGTGCATATGAGAGGAAGAACCGTCCTTGTTCTTGGTCCAGAGGCTACAGCCCCATCACAATATGAGCCTTCCTCCTCTTCACTCCTTTGACAGAGATGCTTCTTTCAGGATTTAGGTTTGAGTCGTTTTCATCAGAACCTCCAAAGAGGCAGGAAAATTTGCCAGGTGGGTCTTGCAGGAATAGAAGAGGTGAACAAACATGAGTACTGAAGACTTCCAAAAATTTTCTTTGTAAAGGCTCATGAAATGTTTCAGACTCACAGGCTGAAATGGTGATTCCTGGAGACGCTGTAACATCTGAGATGTGAACACTGAGTCCTGGGCTTGGGTTGTCTCGCTCTTGGACTGAATGTTCCAGGGTTCACAGTATAGGGCCTCTGTGAGCAGTCACTGATCCCCTAAGAAAATCATGTCCCAGCCTAAACGTCTTAGAGATACAACCTAAGCATTTATTTATTTTTTCTTTTGCTCTAGCAAGGCCTATGTGTTGGCTCAGCAATAAATGGCTATAAGGATAGACCTACTTAAAAAAAAATTGAGAATGTTCCCATCATGATCAAAAGGGGAAGAAGGGATTGGGGAAGCAATAGCATAATAAGCATTATAAGCATCATAGCCTGATTTAGTTTCTAATTTTGTATATTTATTTTCCTGGGTAATTATATATTATCCACTAGATTGTAAGCCTCATGAAGGCAAAGTTTTCTATTTGTTTTGCTCTTGGCTGTGTTACCAACACCTTGAAAAGTACCTGGCCTATAGCAGGTACTCAACAGATGTTTGTTGAATGAATGAATACTTTTCCCTACTCACATAATTAGAAATAAATGTCAGTAAGTATTATCTCTAAATAGAGGGATTGAGAATAAATTCTGTATTTTCTTTATGATATTCTACATTTTTTAATTTAAAAAAATTTTTTTTAACTTTTATTTAATGAATATAAATTTCCAAAGTACGATTTATGGATTACAATGGCTTCCCCCCAATACCGTCCCTCCCACCCACAACCCTCCCCTTTCCCACTCCCTCTCCCCTTCCATTCACATCAAGATTCATTTTCGATTATCTTAATATACAGAAGATCAGCTTAGTATACATTAAGTAAGGATTTCAACAGTTTGCTCCCACACAGAAACATAAAGTGAAAAATAATAGATGATTTTTTTTTAAAATGATGATGAAATCAGATCAGACCTATTGTCATGTTTAATCCCAGTGAGAGTCAAGTTGGGGAGTTGATAATTTCTTATTTATATCATATTTTTGACAGAGGATCAGTTTGAGTATGCATTAAGTAAAAGATTTCAACAGTTTGCACCCCCATAGAAACACAAAGTGAAATATATTGTTTGAGTACTCGTTATAGCATTAAATCTCAATGCACAGCACATTAAGGACAGAGATCCTACATGAGGAGTAAGTGCACAGTGACTCCTGTTGTTGACTTTACCAACTGACACTCCTGTCTATGGCATCAGTAATCTCCCTATGCACCAGTCATGAGTTTCCAAGGCTATGGAAGCCCTCTGAGTTCTCCGATTCTTATCTTGTTTAGACAAGGTCATAGTCAAAGTGGAGGTTCTCTCCTCCCTTCAGAGAAAGGTACCTCCTTCTTTGAAGACCTGTTCTTTCCACTGAGATCTCACTCACAGAGATCTTTTGCCAGATCTTTCCATGCCTGAAATACTTTCATGGGCTTTTCAGCCAGATCCGAATGCCTTTAGGGCTGATTCTGAGGCCAGAGTGCTATTTAGGACATCTGCCATTCTATGAGTCTGCTGAGTATCTCATTCCCATGTTGGATCACTCTCCCCTTTATTTATTCTATCGGTTAGTGTTAGCAGGTACTAGACTCGTTTATGTGCTCCCTTTGACTCTTGTCCTTTCATTATGATCAATTGTGAACTGAAATTGATCACTTGGAATAGTGAGATGGCATTGGTACATGCCACCTTGATGGGATTAAATTGGAGTCCCCTGGTATGTTTCTAACTCTACCATTTGGGGCAAGTCAGCTTGAGCATGTCCCAAATTATATATCTCTTCCCTCTCTTATTCCTACTCTTATGTTTAACAGGGATCACATTTCAGTTAAATTTCAACACTTAAGAATAACTGTGTATTAATTACATAATTAAACCAGTCATATTAAGTAGAACAGACAAAAAAACTACTAAGAAGGATAATGTATTAAGTTGTTCATTAACAGTCAGGGCTATGCTGATCAAGTCACCGTTTCCCATTATTTTATTTATTTGAAAGGCAGAGAGAGGAAGAAAAACAGAGACAGAAAGAGAGAGCTCTCCCATCTTCTGTTTCACTCCCTGGTGGTGAGGCTGAAGCCAGGTACCAAGAACTCAGTCTGGGTGCTGGTGCTGTGGCATAGTGGGTAAAGCCACTGCCTGCAGAGCCGGCATTCCATATAATTGCCAGTTTGAGCCCCGCTGCTCCACTTCCAACCCAGCTCTCTGCTTTGGTCTGGGAAAGCAGTGGAAGATGGCCCAAGTCCTTAGGACCCTGCCGCCGTGGGAGACCCGGAAGAGGCTCCCAGCTCCTAGCTCCTGGCTCCTGACTTTGGATTAGTGCAGCTCCAACCATTGCAGCCATCTAGGGAGTGAACAGCAGATGGAAGACCTCTTTCTCTGCCTCGGTCTCTCTGTAACTCTGCCTTTCAAATAAATAAGTAAATATTAAAAAAATAAAAAAAAGAACTTAGTCTGTGTTTCCCATGTGGGTGGCAGAGACTCAACTACTTGAACCATCACCTGCTACTTTCCAGGGTACACATTAGCAGGAAGTTGGAATGGAGAGTGGACCCAGGTACTCTGACATGGGATGTGGGCATCTCAGCAGTATCTTAACCACTGTGCTAATAATTTTCCCCAATTTTTTAAAATAATTGCATTATTTGTAATTGGGACAAAATAACATTACTTTAGAGGACATCCGGATAATAACTTCTTAAAGTATTTTGAGGCCGGCGCCGCGGCTCAATAGGCTAATCCTCCACCTTGCGGCGCCGGCACACCGGGTTCTAGTCCCGGTCGGGGCGCCGGATTCTGTCCCGGTTGCCCCTCTTCCAGGCCAGCTCTCTGCTGTGGCCAGGGAGTGCAGAGGAGGATGGCCCAAGTGCTTGGGCCCTGCACCCCATAGGAGACCAGGAGAAGCACCTGGCTCCTGCCATTGGATCAGCGTGGTGCGCCGGCCGCAGCACGCCGGCCGCAGCACGCAGGCCGCAGCTGCCATTGGAGGGTGAACCAACGGCAAAAGGAAGACCTTTCTCTCTGTCTCTCTCTCTCTCACTGTCCACTCTTCCTGTCAAAAAAATAAAAAAATAAAATAAAAATAAAATAAAAAAATAGGCCGGCAACACGGCTCACTAGGCTAATCCTCCGCCTTGCGGTGCCGGCACACTGGTGTTCTAGTCCCGATCGGGGCGCCGGATTCTGTCCCAGTTGCCCCTCTTCCAGGCCAGCTCTCTGCTGTGGCCAGGGAGTGCAGTGGAGGATGGCCCAAGTGCTTGGGCCCTGCACCCCATGGGAGACCAGGAGAAGCACCTGGCTCCTGCCATCGGATCAGCGCGGTGCGCTGGCTGTAGCACGCTGGCCGCGGCGGCCATTGGAGGGTGAACCAACGGCAAAAGGAAGACCTTTCTCTCTGTCTCTCTCTCTCACTGTCCACTCTGCCTGTCAAAAAAAAAAAAAAAGTATATTGATATGTTGGAACAAAATAATTTTAATGAAAGTATAATAAATAAAAGCCATTTTTTCCTTTATACTGAATGTCCTAGAGCACTTGTAGATGAGTATGCAGAATAAATTAGAAGACATTTGATGAGGAAGCTGTGCTTCAAAGCAGCAAACATTTGTGAATGTGTCAGGCTGAGGATGATAAAGCCCTGTCCCTTAAGTGGATTATAGGCAAGGAGATCTAGAGGAGTGAAATGAAGCCCTAGGGAAATCCTTGGAATTGCATTGGGTTTTTGCTACTAGTCTGCCACCTTAGAACACATAGAGCATTTAGGAGGAAGTCAGGCAGGGCTACTGTTCCCATTTTGTCAATGAGGTTGTGTTACTGAGAAACCAAGTGGCTTGCGGGGGACCGGGCTGTGAGGAAGTATAGTGCACACGCACCTGGGGCTTTACACTGCCCGGCACTGTCCGCTCTCCCAGGGCTGCCACACAGAGGCCCTGCCTAGGTCTTGGGCAGGAATTCTAAGGGGAGGGGGGACTTCTCCAATGTGGTAGCCCCTGACCACACAAATGTAGTTATTTCAATTTAAATTAATACATATGAAATAGCCAGTTCCTGTGCTAGTCACTTTTCAAATGCTCAATAGCTGCATGTAGTTAATAGCTAACGAATTGGACAGTGGAGAACAAGCCCAGAAAGTTCTCTTGGATAGTGCGGCTGTGAATTCATTTTAATTAGTACCTTTTAACAAACAACAGTCAATGCTTACTGAAAAAGCATGATATGTGAGGCCTCATCTCCATCTCATAATAACATCTCTGAGGAAGACTCTATTATTATCTCCATTTTCAGACAAGGGAGCTAAGACCAGAGGGATTAAGTAACTTGCTCAAGATCATATGCCTGGTGAGGAGGTGACACTGGGATTTGAACACAGTCAGTCGGGCCCTAAAGCAGAAGTGCTTGATCACAACATTAGTCATTCTCAAAGTGTGGCCCCGTACGAGCAGAATCACCTGTTAGAAATGCACGTTCTCAATACCACCCAATCTACTGAATCAGAAGCTCACGGTGGGATCCCAGCTCTCTGTGCTATAACCAGTCCTCTGGTTGACACTGATGGAGTCTCAAGGTGGGGTACACTTTACTCTGCCATATTGCATTCACAGAGACATACAGAGAACCATCTGCTGGCTCATTTCCCCAAATGCCTGCAATAGCCCAGGCTGGGCCAGGCCAAAGCCAGGAGACAGGAACTCAATTCAGGTCTTCCACATGGGTGGCAGAGACCCAGGTACTTGAGCTGTCATCTGTAGCCTCCCAGAGCTCACATTCGCAGGAAGCTGGATCAGAAATGAAGGATCCAGGGCCCAAACCTAGGCACTCCAACCTGGGGTGTGGGTATCCCAAATGACAACTTTACCTCTGTGCCAAATGCCAGTCCCTCTTGATATTTTTTTAGAAGAGATGATGTGATCTTTTAGCAGAATAAAAAGAATTATTGTTAATTATCATGTATTGCTACCATGTAGTAGGCGGGTATCCATTTTTCACTTGGATGGAATTGGAGCCATGATCTCATTTGCCTAGGGTCACACAGCCAATAAATGATGATGGGGCAGGGATGTGAATCCAGGCTTCTCCTCCAATGGTCATCATTATTGTCATCAGTCCTCATTTAGTGGACAGAAAGGGGAAACCATCTGTTCCTAGATGCAAAGAGTTTTAAATTCTCTGCTGCCTAAAATGTCCTCACTTCTCCCAAAAGAAAGTGACCCTCCCTTCTTCCTCTCCAGATCACCTTTCATCAATCTGTTGTTGCTTAGTCCATCATGAAAATAACTTTTCCTATCAAGCATATTCTTCCTAGAGCATGCCAGCCTGAAAATCAGAATTTCTGTATTGGGGACGGTGCTATGGCATAGTGGGTAAAGCTGCTGCCTGCGGTGCCGGCGTCCTGTATGGGTGCTGTTCAAGTCCTAGCTGCTCCACTTCCAATCCAGCTCTCTGCTACGGCCTGGGAAAGCAGTAGAAGATGGCCCAAGTCCTTCGGTCCCTGCACCTGCATGGGGGACCTGGAAAGAGCTCCTGGCTCCTGGCTTCGGATCTGTGCAGCTCCAGCCGTTGCTGTCAATTGGGGAGTGAACCAACTGCTGGAAGACCTCTCTCTCTTTCTTTCTCTCTGCCTCTCCTCTCTCTGTGTAACTTTCTCTCTGACTTCAAATAAATAAATAAATCTTAAAAAAAAGAATTTCTCTCTCTGGAGATTTTCAAACAGCAGATACTTCATTCATTTATTCTTCCATAACAAATACGTATTGAAGGTATACTATGTGGCAAGAATAGTCAGTCCTAGGCAATGAAGACAAGGCTCCTCCTCTCATGGGGCTTATATTCGTAGTTTCTTATAAGAAACTATGCTTTTGACATTTAG